TGTGTGTGTGTGTGTGTGTGTGAGCATCATGGTCTCTTTGAAGACATATTGAAGGGTTAAATGTCGTATAGTAGCTTCTCAAATGTCGCAAGTTTTTAATTCTTAACGTATTTCATTGGAACACACAAAAAAATAAATAAATAAAAATTTTGACGGCGGAAACTTGAATTTCGACGGGTTTGAACGGCCCGCCAACGTGCAGACGACGTGCATAATCGTGTAAACAGCGTCATTTCTCTTATGTACAAAAGATTCATTTTTGTTTATTACTGAATGTCTTTTTTATTGAATTAATGTTAACGTGTGCAAAATGAGCAATACAATTCATTAATAATACGTAGAATATTAAAACACACGAGGAAATGACACAGCATTGTTTTCGTTGATTACAAAGCCAGTGACTGACTGGTTCTACATATAAAACTGAAGAAAATAAGACCTTGGTTGTAGCTGTAGTAAAGTTAATATGGTTGTTTTAAGTAATGTTATTTGTTAATAAATGGAACAATTGAGTAGCTAACGATAATGGTAAAGAAAAAAGAGATCGCGTATGTACAGTAAGTGCGCATGCGCACACGTGAAAACATATCATCATTACTTTACATAAGAATATGAAAGCAACACCTATTTACTGTTCACATATATTTTAATTAATGTTTCTGAATTTGTTTTTATTGAATTAATGTTTGTGTGTGCAAAATTAACAATACAATTTATTAATAATACGTGGAATATTAGAGGAGACGAGACGGCTGCCGGCATTGTTTATGTTAAAGCTTACGAAACCAGATGACTGATTGGTTCTACATATAAAACTGAAGAAAATAAGACCCTGATTTTAGCTGTAGTAAAATTAATGTAAAAAAATAATATGGTTGTTTGAAGTACCTGTAATGTTATTTAATGTTAATAAATGGAACAATATAAGTAGCTAACCATTAATGGTAAAAAAAAAAGTGAGACTGCGCGTATGTAAGTGCGCACATGTGAAAACATATCGTCATTACTCTTCATTACTCTACATAAGAATATGAAAGCAACACTTATTTACTGCTCATATATATTGAAGGGTTAAATGTTGTACTCTGTATAGATAAGCAGAGAGAGAGAGAGAGAGAGAGAGAGCAGCCGAACTGGGATGTAAACAAACCTTAATTTCCCGCGGCTGTTTTTTTTTTAAGGGGATTAGCCCACCCGGTCATAGGTCACTGATGCACATTGGGGCCTGAGGGGCAAAAATTTAATACTCCTGTAATAATTCAGATAAGTAAAAAAAAAAAAAATCTGCCTATCTACCTATTGGACAAACTAAAATCGTTCTGAACCACGGGAGTTTCCGGACCATAGAATGCCGGACTAGAGAGGTACAACCTGTACTAGTAAACAAAAACTATTAATAAGCACAGGACTAGTAAGCAAAAACTAATAGGATGTACAGTACTAGTAAACAAAACTACTAGGGGGTACAGGACTAGTAAACAAAAATTACTAGGATGTACACTGGGAAACCATATTCTCTCTCCCACCTGCGTCGGTGCTGGAGGTTAGTACAGTGGCCTTTCTGGATGGCGGCCCACTTTAAGGGCCAATTGCAAGAACGGTTATGGGGTTTACGACGCCATTTACGATGACCTTCTTGCCCTGGTCTTTTTCAGCAATATCGGCTTTAACACATGGAATTCTGCACTTTTCGAAGCTTTGGAGGAGTCTTGAAACAAGTTTCCTGGTAGGAATTATTAGCTAGTGCTGTACTCAAAATATCGAAACTTCGAGATCTCTCCAGAGCTTCAAAAGGGTGGTATTCCAGAAACAAGATCAGGGCAAGAAGGTCATCGTAAACGGCGTCGTACACCCAACGACTTTTCTTGCAATTGGCCCTAACTATCACGAGGTAACACACGCACGAACACACACAGTCATAGTATGGCTGTATAGATGATATGTATAAATATTGTATATGGCATTTTATACTCTGCATTATTTTCATTATATATGAACACTAAGAAAAAATTACCATATGTTGTAGTTACGAAAGTATGAATGGAAATAAACACTTCCAAACCACCCAGTGAATCCACACAACGTTTACAGCGCTTGTGGCCAGACCAAGATGATTCCACCACACCCCATGTATATCTCTTATTTCCCATCATTCGCTTAACTATATGAAAAATCGTGTTTAATTTAAATACATGTTTCAAAAACCTTAAATTACATGTGGATCAGTCACTCTTCATTTGACACACTTATAGTGTAATACTTTGACCATCCCACCTGGGCACATGTAGGCCCACGGTAACTCTCACCGGGCAACATACGCACGAACACACAAGTTACGATATGAACCCTTCCAGGCTTCACTATCATTATCATGTTATGTTCATCGTGCTCTGTATCTTGGTAACTGGTCATAGATATAGATGGGGTGTTGTGGAAGCATCGTGGTCTGGCACACACACACAACACACAAGCCCTGTAAACGTTGTGAGGAGTCACTGGGTCGTTTGGAAGTGTTCATTTTCATTCATACTTTCGAAACTACAACCTATGGTATTTTTTCTTCTTGTTCATATATAATGAAGATAATGCAGAGAATAAAATGCCATATACAATATTCATACATAATGTCATCTATACAGCCATACTATGACTGTGTGTGTTAATGCATGTGTTGCCTCGTGATAGTTAGAGTGGGCCCACGTCCAGAAAGGACACTGTTCTAGCCTTCAGTATCGACCCAGGTGGGCTAGAGATTATGGTTTCAGAGTGTACATCCAAAATTTTGGCGCCCTCCATTATATTCACAATGATAAATGTACCCCAAAGCCTATACAAAAGGTTGGAGAACACTGCTCTAACACTACCCTGAGGGGAAGGGGGGGGGGATAGGATAAGTTAGCGTTAAGTGGAATAGTTTAGGTTAGGTTGTTCTGTTATATTATATTAGGTCAGGTTAGGTTGTGTTTGGTTTGGTTGTGTTAGGTTAGGTTAGTGTTAGAGTGTGTAATGATCAGGTAAAGTAAGCTGGGGTGTTGATCTTCAAATGGTCCGTTTGTATACATTTATTTTAAGACAATCTTTCTTCATTAATTCTTACCTGAACAATGAATTTTACCATTTATCATTTTTAATAATCGTATAAAATAGAGTCAAGGTATCCAGGAAGAAAACAACATCGAGAATATTTGGTTTATTGACTTTGATCATTTTGTTATATATTCTGTTAAGTCAGGAGAAAATATAAAGCGTATCCAAGTTTACATGATTGTGATGGTGAAGGTCGTCACTCGTGGACTACTTGACACTTTTGTAGTCCAAGTGATGTAACGTGATTAAGGCTCACTGGATTAAATTATAGTCATATAAAACTTTTTTCTTAAACTAAATGTCAATGTAATTTTTTTTTTTTTTTGGTATTTCATTGTCATCTTAAAGTCTCAATTGTTGTTTGTTACTCCTGAATGCTGGTTGATAAAATTACTTGTTGAATTATGAACATATCCAGATGAACATTACCTTGACAACTGCCATGTATAACCGTGACTTGGATGGTCTTGGGAATAACCAAATTAATAGCTTTTGGTAGACCTTACTCCGAGTACACAATTACTACAAAAGGGTCCAGAAAGATTGACAATAAAATACTAACACTAGAGCCAGTTAGCGTCTTTAACAGAGCCCAGAGTGACACAGCTGAAGGCAGATGGAATAAAGCTACATTGACTACCGCTGTGAGTCTAAATTAACCGTATAATTACCAACAAAAGTGGCAGTATAAAAAGTTCACTTACATTCTGCAGTCAAGATTCAACTAACTTATTCAGTATGGCAAAACAAAGGTATTAATGATCATAATAACCTATTTCCTCTGGTATCATCATGCTAGAGTGTTTCTCAAACTTTTTCACTTCATTCCCCCCATGAGGAACTCTCAACATCCTCGTGGCCCCCTTCAGTTCTCTCCCAAGCCCCTCACAAATAATGATGAAAATAAACTGTTTTGGTTCTCTTCCTTTATTTAAATGTTTTCAATCATCAAACAGAATGCATATTTTGTTACAGTTCAATGGGATGGATGACATTGTTTTCTTCACTCAGTCGACTGATTCGAGGTTGAGTCACTGATAAAGCACATCTCATGTCTGGGTCTACTTGTAACCAGTTTCGGCTTTTATTCTCTATTTAAAGAAGAGTGGAGAAACCAGATTCACATAAATAAATAGTAGAAAATGGCAAGAGTACTCGAAGTGCGATCTCACTAACTTTTGGATATGACTGATACATTGAGCACCAGATAGTCAGAGATTTTTCTTCATAGAGGTCTCTGGCAGCAGAATCGTTCTGAGATCAAGGAATTCGTCTGAACAGGAACTAGAATCGTGCAAGCTGAGCGAATCCGTTGGAAATGAAAAACTAGCTGCTGCTGCACCATACTATGTAAATATCAAAACTGTACCATACGGGTATTATGATTACACACAATTAAAAAAACAAAACAATATCTCCCCTAACAAGGCAAAGTACCAAAAAACAGTTGAATCAGAGTTCCCACATTTTCTCCAAACATATACTACTTACACTAGCCTGCCATGCCCCCCAGTTTGAGAAACACTGTGCTAGACATACAAATACTTGACAAACCCACAGTGGTTCATCATAGTTATAATATTTACAGTTTGGTATTCATTAAGTACAGTACAGTATCATAAGTATCCTCTCAGCACGAGGAAGATAAAGAATGCAATATAACGTCCCCGTAATGAGAGAGTTCTTTTGTCATTAATTTATTATATTCTCCTTGGTATTCATCTCTACAAATATTTTAGGAACTTAGTGTAACATCGACCATAAATCACAAAGACATTCCTGTTCATTCTCGGCAGTTGAGATAAACATAAGAGAAATATTGTGTACATCGTAATGATCCAAGTTACAGACAAATAAAACGCTTGCTGCTCAAACCAATGACTTCACTGTCTGGGGCCGAACTGACGGACACAACTATTTACGTCCGTATCAATTATTTTTGTCTTTACATGCTCACAGCGCGTCTACACACCGTTCATTGTTTAATAATTAATGCTGACTGCGTAGAGAATATATGAGTTTATACCCTGGCTGGCTGTTGGTACATCTACTGTATATATCCAAGTCCTTGACCAGGCTGTGAAGATTTAACACCAAGAATACGATGCTTGATAGCGAGGTATTGCATGGGTGAGCTACATTAAATTATACAAGTATTGCACTATTTATTGGGTAAAGATCAAAGGAGAGGAAAACATGGATGGGTCAGCATGTTGAGCGCTGCTGTAATACTCAGACAGGAAGTGGATAAACAAATCACTTCATCGTTTGCTGACTTTCCGATAAAGAAAAAATCCTATCATGATGTGTAGTGCAGTATATATTATTGCCTGAATATTACTTTCTTTGTCACAGTGATCCGTGTTAATATTCCCTGTTGAATATACTCGTCTAAATAATGATATAAACTTTATCAAACATAATAAAACACACGCTGGTGTTGGGAATAGCCTCGTTGAGGAGCCTATTACATCACACTGATTATAAAATTAAAATATTTTAACTCTTTGGTTTTATTTTTTTAAGAACATTGGTAACAAATAATAGGAATTTTTGTAATCCTACTGTGAGTCTGTGTTGTTTTATTTACAGTACATTGGAGTTAGAAAAAATACACATTTGGTCATTATTAATCTGTAAAGGTATTGTGACGTACTGTATGTGTGATGTTTTGTATTCAATTCATAAATAAATACTTTTCAGTAACAGGGAAAGTCAGCACGGATGTCTAAGGGCATAGTACAAGGTTTTACTCTGCACATTCTTCACAGAAGTTTGTACAGAAACATTTCAGCATTATTAACACACAAACTTAACATAAATATTAGACTTCTCTTTTCTTGCTCTCACTATACACTGGATGTTTCCTGTGCCTGTCTGTCACTACTGCACAACAGGCTGCCTCCGTGTATAGTCATGACATATTAAAGTGCTTTTATAAATAGGATGCTGGAGGAAAGTGTCTCGTGATGAACTCTCACTGTATGTATGGTGGTTGAGGTGAACGCTATCATTGTCATCTTCACTGACGTTTACAACAAGAATGAATGTGAAGAGTCTTAATATGACAGGAATATGCCATTTTCCCCACGAGCCAGATAAACCATTATAATTACATTGCATTTATGGAATCGTTCAAAAACATTTTCATCGTTGTGGCAATGCATTCTGTTTAGTAATTTTATTTTCAATTTTGTGGATGAACCCCGATTGATATATTGAGTCGTAAGAATAAAATAATATCTTGTATGGCCAGAACCAGAGCATTATGATACAGATTTAATCACACAGTGTAGAGTGTCCGTGCCTTTACTCGTTCCTTCTATTATACATCCTGTTTTTAGACTTTACTATGTTATGCTGAGAAAAGAATGACTAGACTATTTACTGTATATTGTACATTTGGAAAAACTATTCATAAAAAAGGAATATGTTTTACATTCATTCATTATTATTTAACAAGTTTTAAGTTAAAGTAACTTATAATTCCTACACATATATATATATATCCTGTATTTTTATAGTAGAAGGCACATTCTCAGAAGGTGCTTCACGTTTTGATTTGTTGCAGTCCAAATTCTGCGAATGAGTTGTGCAACATTTTCCGATACAAGTATAAAGTAATAAATGATTCAACATCTATACAATAAAACATCTATGATCAAATCAAATAGAATTCAATGACTACAATAACAGCAAAGGTTCATAAGTTGTTTACCGGGTCAAGAGAAACATACCTTGTGTATATTCAAAACAACATGACTTAAGTACTGTAATAACAATTTTTCGACTTATGTATTTCGTATTACATGTTAATGTTTTCAAGATACAAACATATTTGACTTTAACATATAAGTTTAATCAGTAAAAAAAGCTAGATAATATATAAGTTAAGGATTTTATCCATTTGGCTCTTCTTGTGACAGTGTGGCGAGAATCATTGCAACACAAATATTAACATTCATGTTTAATCAAAGATCACTGCAAGACACGACACAATATCCAGCATCAGTTCCTTCCTTGTATATTTTTTCTTACCAGTGGTACGCTTTTTCTTGTTCTTGATATTTGCGTTCTGTGGTGTTCCAGGGGGTGTGTGGCAGCGAGGTTTGTCCATCTCAGACAAGTGTGGTGCTAGTGTGGGAGGTATGGTGGTCATGTTGTGACCTGAGATCCGCCCACTCACGTAGTTAAATTCATTTGCCGTCAGAAGGCAAGCAGTCTGTGGAAGCTGCTCATTATTCATCTGTAGGAAGCGTGTATGGTAGAGTAGATTACACAACACAGCCCTTCTGTTTTCCTGAGTGAGTGGTAACTTATCACGTTTGCATTTTGCTGTTGACCAGCGCTGTACTGCCTCAAATATTGGCAGCTCATTTGGCACATTCAGTGTAGAGCGCCTCAAAATAAGTTCAAGTGTGTCATAATCTACCTCTTCCAAAAGCTCTGAGGCCAGGACTAACCGTGTTTCCCGATCTACTAGTTCAAGGCACGCGTTGAAGAGGTCAGTACAGCAGGCTGTGGGGTCCCGGAAGTCTGCATCGTCACACAGTTCCTGCAGTTGAGTCATGTTGTGGACAGTGTGCTGAGACCTTTCCAACTGCTCCACTCTTGGATCTACACAAGTCTGTGGAAATTCATCAAGATCCTCCAAGCTGGGAGCTGAAGGAGCTGTTGAGATCTCACTGTTGTCAGAACCCTGGTTAGATGGACAGTACCTGTGAATGTATTGCAGGACTCTGAGAACGTTGTTCCCATTGAGGTGTTGTGCAATATATTCCACACACAGTTCTGCCAGTTCTGGGCAGAGGTACTGGATCGCCACTTGGAGGGTGATGAGGCCACTCTCCATACTCTGGATTCCACACTCGTGACGGTACAGCCACCTGTAATTAGAATTACAGTTACATTCAGCATTATGATCAATATTGAAAGTACCTACTAATGTTACTCATGCACAGTTCAAGCGAGATATCAGGATCTTTACTACAAATAATATATTTATGAAGGAGGGAATTGACCAAACTAAAAAAAAATTCAACTTAACTGGGAAATGACAACTGTTGTCTAACTAGACGACCTCTCCTAACTACAGAACTTCTTAAATGGTTATTCTGGGGAACCTAATGTTAGTGAGTTGCTCTCTAAGTTATCTCTTAAAAGTCATCGACACGACACGACTTTTGATCCCCCCCCCAAAAAAAAAAAGAACTTAAGAGCCAGACCCCAGCCAGATGAGTGTGTGTGTGTGTGTGTGTGCGTGCGTGCTTAATTACATACAGCGGTTACTTAGTTCTAAAAAGTCAACATGACAGACAGGAGAGCGTGATTTATATCAGTACAATGATCTCTGAGAACCGTGACTTAATAAGGATATCGTTTTTTCTTCTGTTTTTAGCTTTATATGAAACTCACCATTTGCTTGTTATTTGGATTTAACAATTTATTTTAACATTTGAAATATAATTAAGTATAAATATTTGATAAGGTTTATGTCTAGTCGTATACAGTTGTTTGATGGCGCTGTTGGTTAATTTCTTCTTGAGCTAAAGTTTCGACTATATGAATCTTACTCGACCGATTCACGTCTCAGGTTCATATTAAGATAAGCTCCCCTAGCTTATTTTACTTGATAATTAAGCACCCTAACGCCATCTGAGGGATTAGGTTAAGTCAGGTATAATTGCCCGTTAGGGACAGTGTGGATACAGCACACAGTGTGGATACAGCACACAGTGTGGATACAGCACATTGTATACTAAGCCTTCGGAGGCAACATGGCCGGTACTGCACTCGACCGCATCCACTTCCCCAAGTTGGAAACTTTGGTACTTATTTACTGCTGGGTGGGATGGGGGTTAAATTAGGTTAGGGTAGGCTAGGTTATTAAATTAGGTTAGGTTAGTGTAGGTTAGGCCAGTTAGTTGAGGTAAGGTTAAGTTGAGATAGGGTATGTTAGGTTAAGTTAGGTTAGGTTAAATTGGGTCAAGTTTGGTTAGTTAGGTAAGGTGATTTTACGGTAAGTTAGGTTAGGCAAGGTTAGATTAGATTAGGTTAGGTTAAATTGGGTTAGGGTAAGTTAGGTTAGGCTAATCTTAGGTTAAGCTAAGTTTAGGTTAGGCTAGGCTAAGTTAGATTATATTAACGTTAGGGTGTTAATCATTATGTGAACTAAACTTCATCCCGAGGTGTTTTATTCCCTCATGTTCCCAGGCTCCTAATTACCCAGTATAGTACCACAGAGACAAAACTTACTTGAGTAGATTTTGGAATCCCTTGGGGTCAGTGGGGATGTTGTAGGTTTCCTTGTGCCTGTCAGCCATCGGTCCCTGTAGCATGGCCCTGAACACCTGGTTACCGGCAGCCAGGACCCAGGAGTGAGCGGGGATCCTCTCTCGGTACACCTCATCCCCCACCATCAAGATAATGTCGCTCCCATCCTCGTTCTCGTACAGGTTGTATGATCTATGGGAGAAAGAGTCGTTCTTAGTCGAGGGTTTTTGGGGGAGTATCCAGGTTGACAGAGGGATTAATATTGAAGAGCAGGATTTATTGAACAGGAGTAATAACAGAAGGATTAATTGAACAGACTTTATAACTGAATAGAAGGATTAATTGAACAGACTTTATAACTGAACAGAAGGATTAATTGAACAGACTTTATAAGTGAACAGAAGGATTAATTGAATAGACGTAATAACTAAATAGAAAGATTAATTGAACAGAAGGATTAATTGAACAGAAGTAATAACAGAAAGAATATTTGAAAAAGGATAAAGTTAAGACTGAGAAAAGAGAAGAATAAAAAGAAAGAACAAAAATATTCACAGTAGATGATCAGAGGTTAGGTTAGGCTATAGCTTCAAAATTAAGTCAACCAAAATAGAATCATTTAGATATAAAGAAATAAACTAATATATAGACTTAATGAATGAAATAAATTGAGACAAACACAAATTGTATCAATAAGTGAATGGGATAAGTTTAGATTAATAACTCGATCAAAATTCTGTATAAGTATCCTGAAAAAAATAGATGAAGCTAATGTGTTTCTTGTACTAAGCTTGATTAAGTGTTTAAAGACCATAGTTGTTAAGTACGGACATACTTTTATAACAACGACCTCTGTAATACATCAATAACACCAAAATACAATTATATGGTAACCCATATATTAAGTGTCCTCTAAAGTTATATCACAACATAAATAACGCCATTGATCAAACCTTACCTTTAGTAACTTCAAGTTGTTTGTAGGCGAGCGTATGAACAACGATATTCGGAATATGAGTAGACATGTTATCTTTCAAAGTCTTCATATGTTACTTGTTATTTTTTTTTTACTTATCATTTACCTTTTAAAGTCTTTGTTATTGACTTGCCTAACATACGGACACTTTCGAACATTATGATGGGACTTTTTCTTTTGTGACGACAGTGTGTAAACATTATACTGTACTGAACTTACCGGCTTAACGCTGTGGAGAGACTATCTCCCTCTCTGCCGGTCATCTTACATCTATACCTACAGTACATTGAACCAAGCATACAGTACATTCAGTATTTGGAAGTTGTCGGTCATATGAGCAGTGGGCGAGATCACAGGACGAATAATGTAATGGTGTATTGTTACCTCATAGTTACGACATGAGTTTATAAAGTTGGTTGACTTGAATATTCGTCATCATTACAGTTAAAGGGTGTTGGCTGAGGTGATTATCTTCATTCTGAAATTAATAGCAAGGGAATAACACTAAAATGTCCGCCATGATGTTTGATCAGGCGTTGACTAACTGAATATATTTGTTCTGAAACACAAGTAGCTGTACTCTTTATTGGTTGTGTTGAATTACGAGTACATTGCATTGTTTCAACCCGGCCGGCACTAGGCGTTGATGTGTTGGGCAATGAGGTAAGGGACAGTGGAGGGGGCAGTGACTGTATAATTTTTTTTAGTTACCTGTATATTGAGATAATGGTTTTGATGGTGCTGGATAACAATTGAAAATGTTTATATCCTTAAGGCCGTGCAGGAAGTCTAGTACGTCGCCTATTGTGTTAACGTTAACCATACCCTCGTGTAAATTGACCCCAGGTCGTGTCGTTAGTCTCCAGGATAAATAACGACCAGATAATAATAAAAACCATGCTGGGAGTTCGAGATGACTTTACGGAACCTTACCTGCCGCGTATCAGATGCAGCGAGAGCTGGACCCACTTGCAGGGGCCCATGACGGTGTAGTAGACGAGGCGTTTCATGGTAGTGGCAACGGCGGCGTTGCGTGTGTTCTCACAACCACACACCGCTAATTTCTCTCTTTTAGATCCACACTTACTGATCCATCCGAGGAGGAGGTCGGCTGACATTTGTCCCGGCGCTCACTCCCCGGGTGTGTGTGTGTCACTTGTTACTTCAATCACTAGTTTTCTTTATCGCTGTCTCTCTTTCTGTTTTTACACAACTTTCTCAGTTGTCAGTTACTGTACATGTCACAATATTACTCCAGTGTTTGTATCTCCATGTAGTCGTCTGCTGAAGGACCGTTCACTATTGTAAGCTTTGTTTTTATCATGTCAAGTCTTTACTTACTCTGATTGTGAATGAAGATATTTAGTCAATTCATAGTTTTTATTTATCATAAAGCTTTATATAGTTGTCATAATCCACAATTCTGTTTACCCCCACGAATGTAATTAAGGCGAAAAACACCGAAAAAATATTTAAAATCTCTCGGTATTGGATTGATAATTCCACGAGTTTTGCCGAGGCATCCTAGAACAGGGAAACAACTCATCCTGGAGTATTTTGCCCTAATAGAGGACCGACCACTGTGTTTCATGGAGCCACACAACTCATTATGTAGCAGACTAGTTATCCCCTGAGAGTAGTATGCTGCTGGACGTCTTATATGGTGAAAGAACTTAAAAGAGAATACTTGTATTTAACGACTACACTCCCACACACTACACGACTACACACTACACGACTACACTCCAACACACACTACACGACTACACTCCAACACACACTACACGAATACACTCCCACACACTACACGACTACACTCCCACACACTACACGACTACACTCCCACACACACTACACGACTACACTACTACACACACCACACGACTACACTCCCACACACTACACGACCACACACTCCCACACACTACAGACTACACTCCCACACACTACACGACTACACTCCCACACTACTACACGACTACACTCCCACACACTACACGACTACACACTACACGACTACACCCAACACACACTACACGACTACACTCCAACACACACTACACGACTACACTCCAACACAGTACACGACTACACACTACACGACTACACTCCTAACACACACTACACGACTACACTACACACACTACACACACTACTACACGACTACACTCCACACACTACACGACTACACTCCAACACACACTACACGACTACACTCCAACACACACTACACGACTACACTCCAACACACTACACGACTACACACTACACGACTACACTCTAACACACACTACACGACTACACTCCCAACACACACACGACTACACCCAACACACACTACACGACTACACTCCAACACACACGACACGACTACTCTCCAACACACACGACACGACTACACTCCAACACACTACACGACTATATCCACACACACGACACGACTACACTCCAACACACACGACACGACCACACTCCAACACACGACACGACTACACTCCAACACACACACTACACGACTACACTCCAACACACACGACACGACTCAACACTCACAACTACACTACACGACTACACTCCAACACACACTACACGACTACACTCCAACACACATACACGACTACACTCCAACACACACGACACGACTACACTCCAACACACACGACACGACTACACTCCAACACACACGACACGATTACACTCCAACACACACGACACGACTACACTCCAACACACACTACACGACTACACTCCAACACACACTACACGACTACACTCCAACACACACTACACGACTACACTCCAACACACAGTACACGACTACACTCCAACACACACGACACGACTACACTCCAACACACACGACACGACTACACTCCAACACACACTACAGGATTACACTCCATCACACACACTACCAGGTACGTCGTAGTTCACACCTTAATAGGGACCATGGTCAATAGGGACATGCAGACACTGCACTCGTGACAACACTGTGTTACCCTGACAAACTCGGCGCCCCTCGTCAGCTGTCTTCCAAGACAACAGCTTCAGGAGATTATTTTCAGTTTAAATTACGACGCCGATTTAATTTGTCCAGACTCATGAAGCTGACCAACACACGGAATTAAATGTTGCTTATAATATCACTGAGCCGAGATATATTAAAGTCGTCGAAAATATAAAGACTGGCGGGTAAAGTTGCTGACTGTAGTGGGGATTAAAGGTTGAGAATGCCAGAGAGTGAAGGTGGAGTGAAGATATAAGTGATGAAACACGAGTGGTTGTGAGCTGGTGGAAGCTGCGAAGCCTTGAATGCCTTCGTGTGCATAATGTGCAATGTTTTTCCTAAGGTATAGTGGGGGCAGCCTTTGATACGGCAAGGGCAAGAGAGTGAGGCGCGTGTCCGGGCTGGCTAGCCAGGTCGTTCTGGTAAAACCCAGGGGCGTGACAAGCCAGCCAGGCCAAGCATTACGCCCAGGGGGGAGGCGACTGACTCTTGGGGCTTTGTTACCCCGCCACACACCGCGGGGGAAGGGAGGGGTACACTAAACACATAATAGGAGAAAGAGCGGTGGGGAAGAGAAAAACAAGAAATCATACTGTATTAACATAAGACAGAGAAACGATAATGTGTTTGGGGGTCGCACTTGGGATACGGAACAAGATGATGTTTTTGGTGTGACTATCAATATTGATGAATGATTCAACAGTGACCGTGAGTGTATGAGCGCGAGCGAATCATCATGTTGTCAGTCTCATATCCCGCGCTATGTTTTGTTAAAATTTTTATAACAAATGGTAAGAAGGTGAACTGTGTTTGACCGAAGCCAATGGGCCGCCATCTTTCTTCATCCAGAAGTAACACTGATATTACTCCATTTATCTAATTTTCGCTCGTGCTCTTGCTAGCCATTAATCCTTTTATTGAATTTTCGTTCGTGCTTTTATGATGTACAAGAAAAACATCTTGAATATAAATATAAACGTTACTGCCACTTGCGTCCGCTACCGGGTTGTAAGATTAATACTATGGACATGAATGCTGGTATAATAATGAGACTATTCAAGAAATGTAACAACAATAGACAAAATCATAACAGAGGAGATAGACTGAGCTTCCCAAGAGAACAGAAGACCTTGGCCGTCATGAGTACGTAACAGTGAAGAAGGGAGTCAGAGTACAATGGAGAAATGTAGCCAAAGAAACGCACAAGAC